GTGATGATTCAAAGTTTGTTCTTGATATCTATCCGGCACTCAATGTGTTGCCAGGGATGGTGTCCGATGCCCACCGCCACTCATGGTGGTAGTGATAGTCACGGAGAGTGAGAGAAGAGTAGAGAGAGAAAATGAAACCCGAGAGAAAGAGAGATCTACGACAGAGTAGAGGGTTAATCCAAAAAAATTAATGTCTCTTTAGCATTTGCTAAAATAACACATTATCTTATTTGGGCACAATCATCTTATTTGGGTCACATCACTTCTTTACTACATCACTTCAAACACAATCTATATTTCACGTTTTTTCATAAAAAGTCAAAAAGTATACTAATCTACCACTTTCCAAAAAACCCCTTAGAGAAGAGAAAAGAGAGGTGTACATGTGTATATATATGGATAGTTTGGTCATTTCAGCGAAACTTGTCCTTATGGACATGGTAAATTAGTTCGTAGAGGTGATGGTTAGAGTTAATCAAGGATTATGATTTGCAGATCTTGTACCATCCAGGAAAGGCTAATACCGTAGCAGATGCCTTGAGCCAAAAATCCAGTGCGAATTTGTCATGTTTGCTATCCAATCGAAAAGAATTGTTGATTGACCTAGAACAAGATGGGCTGTTATCTGCTATTTCTGCTCAACCTGCTATTCTTGATGAGATCAAACAAAAACAATGTGAAGATGAATACTTGAAAAAGGTCATAGAGGAAGTTGATTCAAAGCCAAGGCTAGGATTTGTGTTTGAGAATGGTGTGCTGAAATTTCAAAACGGTCTTTGTGTGCCCGATTGTTGTGATTTGAGGAAACGTGTTATGACCGAAACTCACAGTAGTAAATTTGCTATGCATCCGGGGAACATGAAGATGTATCATAATTTGAAACAGAATTTTTGGTGACCTGGAATGAAAAAGAGTATTGCAGACTTTGTGGCTAGATGTCTACATTGCCAACAGGTTAAAGTTGAGCATCAACGACCCGCTGGATTGCTACAACCACTCCCAATACCATAATGGATATGGGAGCACATTACCATGGACTTCATTGTGGGATTGCCTCGTTCTTCTCGAGGTATGGACTCTATCTGGGTTATAGTTGACCGTTTAACTAAGTCTGCCCATTTTCTGCCTATCAAAACTATTTATAACGCTGATAAATTGGCCAATATCTATATGACTGAAATTGTGAGATTGCATGGAGTGCCAGTGTCTATTGTGTCTGATAGGGACTCAAAGTTTGTATCGAGATTTTGGCAGAGTTTGCAACAGGCTTTGGGGACTGAATTGAGACTGAGCAGTGCCTATCACCCATAGACAGATGGCCAAACTGAACGAACGAACCAAACTCTGGAAGATATGCTCAGAATGTGTGTGTTAGACTTCCAAGGGAATTGGGAGACCTACTTGCCATTAGCTGAATTTGTGTACAACAATAGTTACCATTCGAGCATTGGAATGGCTCCTTACGAAGCTTTGTATGGAAGACAATGTCGATCTCAGATATGTTGGGCTGAAGTAGGTGATAGACCTTTATTGGGACCAGAACTCGTG